ACCCAGGAATCTCTGGGAAATTCGATGGAGCTTTTGATGGAACTGAAGCCGGAGCAGAAGACGCCACTGGAGCCGCTGGGGCATCCACATTGCTCTTGGGGGCAGGCGTAATTCCAGCTGCCTTCTCCACATCCTCAGGTGTAATTCTTCCAAACGGCCCCGTGCCCACTAATTTACCGATATCTACCTTGTATTGCTTAGCCAATTTCTTGGCATATGGAGTGGCCACTACCTTTCCCGGTGTAGAAGGAGCCGGAGCTGCATCGACTGGCGGAGACGGAGCATCCACTTTAGGGGCAGGCGAGGATTCCTCAACCTTTGGCGCTGATGGAGCGGGGGCCGAGGAGAATTGAGATGTGGCTTTAGCCTTTGCTTCAGCTATTTCACCCTCTGTTTCTGCTAAAATTCCAATCGCCGCACCAACAGGAGCCGTCTCTCCTTCGTTAATAACAATGGCCGCCAATATTCCATCATAGAACGTCTCAACATCCATATCAGCTTTATCAGATTCCACAACAACAACAGACTCTCCCTTTGACAGAACATCCCCTTCCGATTTAATCCAGCTGACGATTTTTCCTTCCGTCATTGTCGAACTCAACGCCGGCATAAAGATCTCGCGAATCTTTGCCCTCACGACTGGAATTCGTGACCCAGAACGGGGTTTCAAGAAAGATACAGAAGGGCGTATGACAGGAGTAGAACAGAGGGAAGAAGAGAAGGAGAGTGATGGGGTTCTTGATTGCAAGAGGGACGCCATTGTTGCGATAATGGAGCAATTGTTATGTGGAATGTTGGCGTCTGTATTGAGAAGTATTATGTGAAAATGAGTGTATATTATGCAGAGGAGTTGGTGTTGGTGGTGGAATGGGCGGAGAAGACAAGGGAGAATTCGTTTGTAGTTGGCTTAGGCCATAGAGTAGTTCGCCTGCCAGTGTATTATGCAGAGGAATTGGGGCTTGGGGCTTCTCTTTAAAAATGTCACATAACATTTTTTTTAAATATTCATGTAATATTTATTATTTTGCCCATATTTGTACTCCATTTTATTTAAAATATTTTTCCCCCTCTTTTTAATTACACATATTCTTTAAAAAATTACTATTTTAAAATATATTTTATTTCAAAAACATGTTCTTGTGGAGTCCAAACAGGAGCTTTGACTTATTTGAATAGAATGTCCGACTAAGCTTAGATGGTAATTATTAGGACAACAGATAATATTTAAAAGTATCTTCTTTTATGTGTTGTCATGTTGTATGTGAATTATACCATGTAACATTTTAATTAAAAGATGACATCAAGTCACGACACTATAAAACTAATTAAGAGCTAAATATTAAGTTCAAATGATTTTCATGAGTACATTGGAAGTTTAATTAGAAATATTTGATTAAAAAAGTCAAATTACATGGTGTGTGACCTTCTAGTTAAAAAGGACATGGTGTGACTTTTTGATTCATAACAAATAATGAGAAAAAAAAATAGTTAACAATTTAAAATCTTCGCCAAACATGCTCTATCGAAATAAGTCAAAGATGTTGAGTTAAATATCATTTTCTAATGAATAACATCAAGCCCCCGTTTTGCCCTCATTATTTGGATTTATAATGGTGGGAATAGTGTTTTTTTGAAAAATGGATGATTGTAAAAAAATAAAAAAATTCGATTAGTGTAAAATATTAATTTACTGAAGATTGTATGATTGAAAAAATGAGAGAGAAAAATTTTAATTAAATTGATTAGTTTTAAAGGGGGCCAAATGGAGATTTAGCCCCATATAACATAACAAAGAATACATCACTATATCATTTTAAATGGTTTTATACGCAAACTGTATGCTTAGCCAAAACATGTTCTATTTTTTTTAAGATTAAATTACATGCTAAGTAACACTTTAATTAAAAATTGGCACGATATGTTACTTTTAAATCAAATAGCTAAAATTTAATTTTAGCCAACTCGCTCTATGGAAACAAACCAAATATGCTCTATTATCTTTCTTCGTCAATTCTTGATGTTGTCGCTATCGCCATGAGATTCAACCACCTACAACCATCCCAATTTGAAACCCTAACTTGGCAATCAAATTAAACAAAAATGAAATATGGGATTGACATCAACATGTAGAACATCATAAGCTTAGCAAATTATCATTGTGGAACTAGCCTTGCAACATGTATCTCAATGAATCAAGTGACTAATATATGTGTAAACACTTAATTGCTTTCATTACTACATTTACAACCTTTGCTATGTTTGAGGTCATCATTGAACGCTGATCATTCACCATCGTTGCCCTTGTCCATTTATCATGCCGAACACGTTTTTGTTTCAAGTACTTAAAGTTCTAAATAATTCATCGTCAAATAACTAATTACAGTTCCAACTTACCAAATACCCATGTATCTTCTTGTTTATGTAGTCCAGTTGATTCATGTGGTAATTGAACTCCGACAACGACACCTTCGATAGATTGTTTCCATTATTTCTGTACGTTGACTTTAGGTTATTTAAGAGATTGTATGCACATACAATGTGCATTGCATTCATATATGTTGTTAACATCATTTTCAATGCTTGAGTGCTATTCAATAAAAGCACATATATTTTTTTTCATCTTATGCGTCTTGAAACCACTTTACAAAGCAATTTCAAGAGTCATTGTCATTTGAATCATGGATTCCAAATGCAAGAACAAATATTTTGTAATTCGCATATTGTATGCAAAGAGGGAAAATATTTCCTCTTTAGCGCTTCATTAGGAGTGTAAGTTAGACATGTACCCTCAACATTCCCAAAATGCTTATCATTATATAACTTCAATTCTTGTCAATTTACATGTTCTAGCATGTGCATGTACACTAGGAGCTTACCATATGCTAACAAAAGATCTCCTATTACTTCTCCAATTGAAAGCTCACGTGCTCTTCAAGCCCTTCCATAGCTTAATGTTAGTCCATAAGAATGTGCCATGGCATGCATGATATCAACTAATGTGCGTATATTTATATTTGCGATTTAAACAATCACCAATTAATGCACTTTTCACTTGTGTATGATCCCTCAAGATGGCTATACCTATTATACTCCATCTTGAACACATCTGCCTTCTCAACTCTTACTACTCTAAATTGCCATTTGCAATATTCATCGACACACTTGAGTGTGTGCTCTCTTTTATCTGACTAGTACACCGTGTATTGGTTATTCTGCTCAATAAAATATAACGCCATCTGTAGCAACTTCTTATTTTTAAAAATCGTATTTACTGCAAAACACTTGATATATATTGCTTAAGGAAGATGCAAAAACCTCAACTCTTGTAACTAATCCACAATCTTCACTGAATTTTAACATATCGCTCAACTTTTGTTGTGGAACATATGAACCTTCGCAATCAACCAACCCAAATTGTGTTGATTGTAGTGTAACATCCCCATGAAGAGGTTAAGATGCAAGCTTGTCATCTTTTCTTTTAAGTGTCATATAGAACGTAGTAGAACAACTATTGTTCGTAATCTTAATTAGTGCCATACTTGATCGACCTCTTAGTGTATAGAAATTGCTTCTTTCATTCGTTCGATCTTAACTCAATATATATTTTTGTCTATGAGCATAACGTATGTACATCCAACAGTTAGAAGAAAGCCCAGAATTCTACCATCTCGAGTGGCAAACACATTAACACTATCCACACCTGCAATGTTAGTACAACTTAACTAGTTATCATTCGTCCATCGGTCTACTGACTAAATTAAGGGGGTGTATTCAATAGAAACTTTTAATGACTTTTTGGGATTCAAAAAGTTTATGAGTATTCAATGTAAACTTTTTTAGACTCTTAAAAGTATTAATGTATTAAATTAAGACTTTTAAGAAGTCTCTAAAAGTCACAGTGTATTCAACTAAGATTTTTTATAAATTTTTAAAAAGTCTCTAAAAATTACGGTGTATTCAGCTAAAACTTTTTAGAAGTTTTTATAAGTTTTTTGTGGTATTCAAAATCTCCGGAATACTAACTTTTAAGCAGAAAGTATTCATATAAAATCTCAAAATTTGGCTCTCATTAATCATGAGATTTTGGAAGACTTTCACAAAAAAATAATTTTTTTTTTCAATCTTTCTTTTCTTTTTCCTTCTACATTAGAGGTATGATTAAAATTTATTTATTTTATATTGATTATATTTATTTCTATTTATCTTTATCCCTCTCTTGTTGTTTATCTCTATTTTTTATGAAAAAATTATAGGATTCTTGTAATTTTTTTTCCTTTTTTTATTCATTTTTTGATAAAAATATTTATTTTTATTAAATTATAGAATTTTATATGAAAAACTTATAACTAAATTTAAATATATTGGTTTTTATTTATTATTTATTTTTAAAAGTATATTATATTATTAATATTGAATATTAAATTTATTGTTTATCATATATATATGTGTGTACAATTTTGATATTATTTATTTAATTAAGGCCTTAAATTTTTATTCTTTTAATTTTTTTTATTATATGAGAAGAAGAAGGGAAAGGAAAAGGGGAAATGTGAAAATCAACACATTGTATGTGAGAATTTCACACAATTTTACTAGATCCACGTAAATTTTATTTGAAATGAGAGTTTCAAAAGTCTCTTAAATTCAACAAAAGTCTATAAAAATTTTAAAATGAAAGTCCATAAAAGTCTATGCAAGATTTCCACTAATTCTATAAAAATTTCTAAAAAATCCATGAAATTTACAGAAGTCATAACTTAAAAAAAAAAATCCATCAAAGTTTTCAAAAGTCCCTAATAAGTGCGTTTTTGTGCACTTATTTAATGCACAAATATGACTAAATTACGAGCAAAATATTTAAATTGTGGCTTAAATTCGTTCAATTGTTGGATTGTAGGGTATAGTGATGGACATGATGAAATTCGCGAGAAAAAGAAGTAAAAAGGACCAAAACGAATCAAAGTGATAGTTCATGGACCAAAGTGCAAATATCCAAAAGATGAACCAAAGGAGCAATCGAAGAATTGATAATGCCAAGTACCAATTGGAGATCAATATGAGATGATGGAACAAAAGAGTCAAAGAAAAGAGGTCAATAAACAAGAAGATTGAGTTTAGGGACTAAAACGACTCAAACTGAAAGGTCTTGACACCATGCGGTCGCTCAACCCCCGACCAAGGACCAAAATGTTGAAATATTTTCAACCATGTGGTCGCATGGTGTAAAAACCCGGGACGATTCTGCAGTTTTCGTTTTGCGTTATAACTATATTGGAACATGATTTGGGCGCGATATAAAAACCTAGAGCGGTCATATTTCGGGGCAGAACGTATTGGGAGGCAAGAAAACACATCTTGGAGAGCATTTTGAGCCAAAGTAACAAGGATTTACACGACTATCATCAAGATTTCAAGCAATTTTATAATCCGGTGATGCTTTTTCTTCAATTTATCATGTATTCAGTAATTTTCTTCATGATAGGCTAGATTTTCATGTACTGGGAGATCGATGTACCATATGATGTGATTTCTTTAATTTCTAGTTTTCAATTTGACAATAAACACGTAATGAATGTTTGAATGATTTATATACAATAATTTTCTTCCATAATTAAGTGCATGTAATTATATGTGATATTTGGTGGTTCATTTCATCTGTTGGAGAGAAGAGAAATATATTTGACAAGGTATAAATTATTGTAGGGTCCGATAGGAGATAGAGATATACCACTATACTTTGCGTGAATCTTTAGATGTTCATAAAACCACATGCATTCTTATATATGCATTTGTCATAAAAATATAAGCCGGTGATATATAAGAATAGGTTCAATACATCTCAAGAGAGAGTGTTGAATAGAATTAGGAGCATTGATTCGTCAATAATTCAATCGTGTTGTCATTTTGTGAAATTAGGGTTAAGATTGATTATTGCATGGGAACTCGTGATCCTAGTGCTTTTAATTTTCATTGAATACAACTAATTCGAGTTCTAAATATATAAATTGCATTTTAATTCATTAAAATATCGTTTTACATACTGAATTCATTCCAATCATAAAGTTTCCATAATTAGGGATTTCATAAATTAGGGTTTTACTAAATTAGGGTTTTTTAAGAATAAATTCCTGTTTTGACAAATTTGTTTCGGTTAAGGTCAAAATAGTTAGAATTGAACTACTCAATCTCTGTGGGGCGATACTTGAAACTTAACATTCCACTTTGTTACTTGTTAACGAACAATGCACTTGCGGTGAATTAAATAGAAAGAAAATATTTCGTGAACAAGTTTTTTGCGTCGTTACCGGGGATTGAATATTTGTTTAATTTTATCTATATTGGCACTAATTTGAACGTCCATATTCGAATTTTCTGTTATTTTGTTGTGTTTTATTTCATTTTATTTAATTTCATTTTGATTTGTTCTGTTTAATATTTCATTTTAACATTTAAGCACTCCTTTTGACTCTTCTCGCAGATTTTCATGTTAAGGTACGTTGAAGGAGAATTGATCCCAACTGATCCAGAAATCAAACGAACTCTACATCGAAGGTAGCGAGAAAATAGAGAGGCACAACAACAAATGGCTAACGTGCAGAATAATCCAATTTTTCAGGCCAATGAAGAAGGGGAAACGGATGAAGGAAATATGCTCGTAGGAGATTTCATGACCCCTCAGATAATTCAAAGCCAGTCAAGCATCATTTACCACCGTTTGGACAGCCGAACTTTCAACTGAAGACTAATGTGATATAATTATTTCAAAATGGCCATCAATTCTATGGAAGGACCGAGGAAAATCCACATACGTATGTTTCTCATTTTCTAGAGATATGCCAACACTTCAGATATCAAGGAGTCTCAGACGATGCAATCAGATTAAGGTTGTTTCCATATACATTACGCGACAAGGCAATTGAATGGCTAGATTCGCAACCAATTGCAAGTATCACCACATGGAATGATCTAGCCCAGAAATTCTGCACTAAGTTCTTCCCACTTGCTAAGATTGCAAAGCTCAAGCACGACATTTTTGTCTTCCGCCAAGGCGACTATGAGAATTTCGACGAATCTTGGAACAGGTTCAAGAATATGCTACGAAAGTGCCCACACCATGGGATTAGCAAGGGACTTCAGGTCCAATACGTCTATACGGGATTTCTCTTAGCTTTCAAAAGTATGGTTAACTCATCATCAAATGGATCATTATCCACAAAGACAATTGATGAGGCACTGAAACTTTTTGAAACCATGGCTACCACTTCAGCTTTGTGGACTTCAGAATGATCAATTCAGAAGAAGACACCGGGGGTTTATGAAGTGGATGTTTATTCCGCCTTATCAGCGAAAATTGATTCATTATTTCACAAGGTGGAAGACATAACACAATCAGCTATCGCAGCACAGTCGGAGAAGGCCAGTTGTGAAGAATGTGGAGCTGAACATGTAACAGCAGAATGTCCAATCTTGGTACAAGAAGTAGGGCAAGCAGATTTTGCTCAATGGGGTCAGCGGCAGCAAAATAACACATATGGGGAAACATTTAATTCAAGTTGAAAAAAGCACCCAACTTCTCTTGGAGCAATCAAAACCAGAATAAGCCATAGGGTCAATATCAGCAGCCAGAGAAAAGACCTCAATTAGAAAAGATGTTTGGTAAATTCATGGAGAAGACTAATCAATACATGGAAGCAAACAATCAATTCATGAGAAAAATCGAGGCCACTCTTCAAGACTAGAATGCAGCAATCAAAAATTTAGAGACTTAAATGGGACAGATGACAGTTGCTTTGATTGGCAGAGCACCAAGCAGCTTACCAAGTAACACGAAAATAAACCCGAAGGAGCATGCTAAGGCAATTACAACTCAAAGTGGAAAGCAGCTGTCGAAAATTCATGTAAAAAGGTCAGGTGCACATCAAGAAACAGAATCTCCAATGATAGAAGAACCAATAGATCATGATGAGCAAATAGAAGAATCCACCCCAATTGAAAAACCAAGCAAAACGTAAAGTAAAGAAATTGTTAACCCTCATAATCCTCCCATACTGTTTCCACAAAGGTTAAAAAAGCAGAAGTTGGAGCATCAATACAAGAAATTTCTTGAAATCTTCAAGAAACTCCACATCAACATTCCATTTGCCGATGCACTATTCCAGATGCCTAGCTATGCAAAGTTCCTGAAGGATATACTATCAAATAAATGCAAGCTAGGGGATCACGAGACAGTTATGCTAACAGAGGAATGCAGTACCAGAATTCAGAAAAAGCTCCTACCAAAATTGAAAAATCCAGGGAGTTTTGCCGTCCCTTGCACGATTGGTGAAGTTTATTTCGATAAAGCTTTGTGTGATCTTGGTGCAAGTATAAATTTAATGTCTTTATCTGTTTTCAGGAAGCTTGGCTTGGTAGAGGCTAAGGTAACTACTGTAACGCTGCAACTGGCTGACAGGTCATTAACACATCTCAGGGGAATAATTGAAAACGTGCTTGTCAAAGTGGAAAAGTTCATATTCCCTGTGGATTTCCTAATTTTGGACATGGAAGAGGATAAGGACATTCCACTGATACTGAACAGACCATTTTTGGCAACAGGAAGAGCCTTAATCGATGTTCAGCACGGGCAATTGATTTTGAGACTAGGAGAAGAATAGATCTCGTTTAATATCTTCAAGGCAGTGAAATTACCTATAGAGACAGATAGCTGTTTCCAGATCGACGTGATTGACAAGGTGGTCCAAGACTCATTTTTGCTACATAACCCACCAGATGCATATGAAGCTTGCATTGCACATTCACATTTAACACGGTCCGATTCAGTGGAGATGGAAACTTGTGCAAGGTTTTTGGACACTAACCCACCGTACACACGTAAAAGAAATTTTGAAGAGCTTGGGATAGGACCCACAAAACCACTACCATCCATTCAGCAGTCATCAAAATTAGAACTCAAGCAACTACCACCTTATCTCAGATATGCATACTTGGGGGAGTCGTGTACAATTCCAGTGATCATCTCGAACACAGTCAACGAAGTGGAGGAGGAGAAACTTCTTAGAGTACTCAGAGAGAATAAAACAGCAATTGGATGGACCATAGCAAATATCAAAGGGATCAGCCCTTCACTGTGCATGCATAAGATTCTGATGGAAGAGAATTTCCCGCCAACCATAGAGAGTCAGCGAAGGTTGAACCCAAATATAAAGGAAGTGGTTAGATCAGAGGTACTCAAACTTCTAGATGCTGGAATCATCTATCAAATATTAGATAGTGCATAGACTAGCCTAGTTCAGATAGTGCCAAAGAAAGGTGCCCAATGAAAAAAATGAGTTGATACTGACCAGAACATTCACATGATGGAGGGTTTACATCGATTACCGCAAACTCAATACAATAAGAAAGAAAGATCACTTTTCCCTTTCGTTTATAGACCAAATGCTGGAGAGATTGGCAGGCCACTCGCACTACTATTTCCTCGACGGGTATTCCGGTTACAATCAGACGCAGGTGGCACCAGACGATCAAGAGAAAACTACATTCATGTGCCCTTACGATACTTTTGTATATCGTAGGATGCCTTTCGGCCTTTGCAATGCCCCTGCCACATTTCAACGTTGTATGATGGCGATTTTCTCAGACATGGTAGAGAAATTTATAGACGACTCCTCGGTCTTCGAGTCCTCGTTTAACGAGTGTTTAGGACACTTGAATTTGGTATTACAAAGATGTAGGAAAACCAATTTAGTATTAAACTGGGAAAAAATCTCTTCATGGTGTAAGAAGAGATCGTACTTGGGCATCAGGTCTCAGCAAAAGGGGTTGAGGTGGACAAAGCAAAGATTCAAGTTATTGAAAAGTTACCGCCACCAACATCAGTTAAAGGGATTTGCAGCTTTTTGGGACATGCTGGATTCTACAGGAGATTCATAAAGGATTTTTCAAAAATCGCTAAGCCCCTTTGCAACCTGTTAATAAAATACGTACCCTTTGAATTTAATGAGCAATGTCTGACAGCTTTCAACACTTTGAAGGAGAAAATCATGTCAACGCCGGTAATTGTAGCACCTAATTGGGAGTTACCTTTTGAATTAATGTGTGATACAAGTAATCATGTCGGAGGTGTAATATTAGGACAGCGAAAGAACAAGATCTTCCATGTGATCTATTATGCAAGGCGAACATTGCATGATGCCCAGATCAACTTTACAACTACTGAGAAAGAGCTCTTGGCGGTGGTCTATGCCTTTAACAAATTTAGATCATATCTCATGGGGTCTAAGGTCATAATCTACACAAATCACGCTGCATTGAAGTATCAATGATAAAGAAGGATGCTAAGACGAGATTAATCCGTTGGGTATTGCTGCTGTAAGCATCTAACATTGAAATTAGGGACAAGAAGGGCAGTAAAAATGTGGTAGCAGATCACCTATCGAGATTAGAATAAGAAGACCCAGAAGCGTCAGTGGAAATTAATGAAATTTTTTCAGATGAGCAGATGTTCAGTGCAGAAAAAGCCCCATGGATGCAGATATCATTAATCATTTGGCTAGGTCAATCCCACCACCAGATTACTCGAGTCACCAAAAGAAAAAGTTCTTTTCCGAACTGAAATATTATTTTTGGAAGATCCTATTCTCTATAGGCGAGGGACTGATCAAATTGTGAGAATGTGTATACCTAAAGATGAATTACCTGAAATTCTTGAGCATTGTCATTCATCTGCCTATACGAGGCACCTGGGAGCTTCAAAGACTGCCGCTAAGATCTTACAATCAGGATTTTATTGGCCTACATTGTTCAGAGACACCTTTGAATTTGTTAAGAGGTGTGATAGATGTCAACGTACTGAGAACATCTCAAGAAGGAATGAGATGCCACTAAACAACATATTGGAGGTCGATATATTTGACGTCTAGGGAATCGATTTTATGAGACCGTTTTCAAATCAGTACATCCTGATAACAGTTGATTATGTGTCAAAATGGGTGGAAGCAGTTACATTGCCAACGAACGACGTAAAAGTGGTAATTGGGTTTTTGAATAAATACATTTTTACCAGATATGGCACCCGCGGGCAATAATCAGTGACAGGGGCAAACACTTTTACAATCACCAATTCGAGCAATTATTGAGTAAATATGGGGTTAAACACAGTGTAGCAACCCCATATCATCCACAAACCTGTGGGCAAGTCGAAGTGTACAATCGACAGCTGAAGAAAATATTAGAGGTCATAGTGAATTCCTCCTGAAAGGACTGGTCTAAAAAGTTGGATGATACATTTGGACATATAGGACAGCATTCAAGACACCAATAGACATGATTCCATTCCGCCTAATTTTTGGAAAAGCGTGCCACACCTCCCATTGGAGATAGAACACCGGGCATATTGGGTTATGAAACAGTTGAATATAGATTTGAAGGCCGTCGGTGAAAAACGTTTATTGGAGCTCAGCAAGTTAGATGAATTTAGAATTTAAGCATATGAAAACTCGAAACTTATCAAAGAACGTACCAAAAAGTGGCACGATCTATACATCCAGAGACGAGAATTTGAAGTGGGACAGAAAGTCCTGTTATATAACTCGATGCTGAAGTTTTTCCTAAAAAATTAAGATCAAGGTGGTCGGACCGTTACACTGTCACTAAAGTTCTGCCATATGGAGCTATACAGGCCAGCCATGAAATAAAAGGAACATTCACAGTTAATGGGTAAAGACTGAAACACTATTGGGGTAGGGACTTCTCCAAACAAAAGTCTACCGTTCAACTCGGAATGCCTAATTGAAGCAAAAGTGAAAAAGTCGAGCTATTGACTATAGACTAGCGCTGAGTAGGAGGCAATCCACTGTATCCTTTAATTTATTTTATCTTCGTTTGTAGTAGCTTAGGAAATTTTGATTTCATGTTTACATTTTTAGTAAGGTCATCGATCATCCATGCACGTCAATAGAGTCTAAGCATCCTTCACACGAATTCCTAGGCATGGAGCACATATTCGATAATCTTGAAGTGGTCGTGGGTGACTGAGGGTATAATTTACGCAATTCAAGACAAAATTTCATTTTTCAAAAATTTAAAGGGTCAATGTGTGATTGAGAGTTCAAACTGGTTTAGGTACTAAGTTAAAACCCACACACGGACCAAGATGTTTAAAAATCTGACTTTGAAAAGTTTAGGGTGCTGAATGGTCGAGGTCGTGTTCTTGGGGGAAAATAAAAAAGTTTTACTTTATTTAGTTTAGTTTTATTTTATTTTATTTATTAAAAAATAATAATTTTGTCTATGTGGTCGCATAGACAAAGTGTCCATGCAACCGCATGGACACTTACCGAAAGTAAAAAGGAAGTTTTTGTTAAACCATGCGATCGCATGGATTAGTACCATGCAGCCGAAGAACCCGTAACTTGGCCATTCAATTCCCATCTCCCCCTCATTCATCTCTCTCGCCGAACACACAAGCAAGACACACATACACATCCACATCCACATCCCTAAACACACGAAAACAACAAAAAAATCACACACAAACCTTTGCTTTATCAAACATTGAAGTGAGTAGAGACTCCCAATCTTACAATTCTTCACAAGATTTCAAGGTAAGTGCTCTACACTCTACTTTACAAATTTCGAATTTGGAGATTTGGCTTGTCTTACTTTTCAGTAATTGGCGAAGATTGAGTGTTGTGTTATGTTTTAGATTAACATGTGAATGTGGGAGCTACATGATAACACATCAAAAGCCAAAGTAGGAAAAATTTCATGATGCACACAATGTGTTCGATTAAATGTTGAAGTGACGAGCTTTATGCAATGTTGAAAAATTTGTTCTCATCATGCATTACAATTGATATGAATAGAAATTGAATAATGTGATATTACTTGAAAGGCCATGAAAAACATAAAACCCCAACTTCCATAACGTTGGCACTACATGGCCAAGTCATGGCACCCTATGTCATCTACTTGGCCCATTCATTTACCTCACTAAACGACATCCGATCTATTTGAAATTTAAGTATGTGATAGATTTCATTGAATACTTCTATATGTCTGGAGATTGTCCGGGAAAATTTCGATAATTCTCGATAATGCCCGGGGTCGAAGGTGCGCACTCAGTCATGAGTCAAATTTTGATAATGTGCATGTTTGGGCTAATTTTCTTAGTTTTTCCTATTAGCGCAATATTTTTACTATCTTGAACTTCATATCTTGAATATTGCACACCAATGTGTTATACATGCATCTAGGAGTAAGTTTGGGGGATTCGTGCATCCAAAGTCGACTTTCGTGTTTTTTACATGCCTTTTTCATTGCATTTTATAGTTTTAACATTAAAAATTTTATTTTTGCAGGATGCCGCTGAAAAGAACTTCGAAGGGCAAAGAAAAAGTTGGCTCATCTTCTGGAATTGCAAGAACTAGGGAGCTCGAATGGGGATTACAGAGATTCTTAAATGCTAAAACCATGGCCCGGATGAGAACATCATACGCCACTGGACGATGAATCCTGAAAGACCGGTTAAACTTGAAGATTTCTCGGGGTTTGAATTGGTGAATCTGGTTTAGATTTGTGGTTGGGATAAAGTGGTAGAGAGACCTCATCCAATTTATGAGAATCTAGTCCGAGAGTTCTTTGCAAATTTCAACAG